AACCATAAGTTCTATGCTAAAGGTTTCTTTTCTCGCACTTCTCGCTTGTGGAAGATTATTTCATGTCTGTGCTTTCCAAAATTTAAATGCTATGTCAATCGCTATCTACTCTCCTCCTGATTACTCTTATTTTCTTCATGCTCCACAGTAATGTTTCTGTTTTCTAATTCATCCAAACCTAGTAATCTCTTGCATCTTAGTGACTTTACTGCCTTACTTGTGGTGTACTTGATTAAAAAGAAAGATTAGAAATAAACACACACACACACACACACACACACACACACACACACACACACACACTGCGATTGAGTAATATAAACATTAACGAGTTTTTCTCGTATCTGCTAGAAAGAACATGGATTTTTAAGCCGAGCAGATATCGAGAAGTAAATTGAAATAAAGGAACAAATTTTTCCACACGACAGATGAAAAAGAATCTTCCAAGGGAGAGAGAGGGAGAGAGGGAGAGAGAGAGGGAGAGAGGAAGAGAGAGGGATAGAGAGAGAGAGAGGGAGAGAGAGAGAGAGAGATTTATAGTCATTTTCCAGTTAAATTCCTCAAGAGCAGTCGACATCAGGAGCAACAGTGAGTATGTATTTTTTTTAATCGTTTTCAGTCCAAGCAAATTAAAATTGTCCTCTTTATAAATATCAAGAGTACTTAAATTCCCCGCTGCTATTTTGAATCGTTTCAATGAGTGAAACTATGATGTCTGTATGGACAAATGTGTGATCCACTTACACGTTGCCGAAACTTATTTTCAAAATGAAGGAAGTGACTATTCGTGCCAAAATTCCAAGATCAAATCATCTCTTATTTCCCGAAGACAAAAACTTGATTTTCAAGAGGATTTATCTACTTGATAAATTTGGATCAAATCCACTATTATTTTCGGGTGACACTAAACTACATATTTGCATCTATGACGAAGAAGACTATTGATTACTTCAAGATTGCTTGCATTATTTATCTTATCCGAACTGTTATCCTCATCTTCATTGCCATAGTCACAAAGATTCGGCTGTTGCACACTCCGGCCTTCTTCAGTTGATTGGAATTTCGAACCGAATCTTTTACTTTGTCAACCGCGGTAGATTGTCCTAGCCCCACGTGACATGCCTCTTCCAGATGCCCCAGTTATTTCCCTTTAATTCATCTCTCCATGTTTTGGTTCACCACTGCTTTGGCCTGGTATTGAACACACAACTCTTTCAGTCCAGTTACTGGATTTAACGAAAGTGTTTATCCACTGGGCCCTGTGCCCATGAGGACACCAGAAGTAGGCCGGAACATACAACGGCCTAAAAGTTGTGAATATGACAATGACAATGAGGATAAGAGTCCGAATAATGTAAATAATGCAAGTAATCGTAATATCTCATCTCAGAGATATAGAGGCTGAAACATTGTTAATATGACAATGAAGATGAGGACAACAGTCCGAATAATGTAAATAATGCAAATAATCATATCTTATCTCAGAGATATAGACAGATATATAGAAAAATATAGACATAAAGGCCGGAGCGTACAACGGCCGAAACGTTGTGAATATGGCAATGAAGATGAGGATAACAGTCTGAATAATGTAAATAATGTAAGTAATCATAACTTATCTCAGAGATATAGACATATATATAGAAAGACATAGACATAAAGGCCGGAGCGAAATATCTCTTATCTCAGAGATACAGACAGAAATTGAAGAAAAATTCCAATCACCTGAAGAATGCTTGAATTTGTTGTGCTGAAGAGCAGAGACATGATGGAATACAATTACGCAATAAATTACATTTATCTTAAATACGAAAATAAATTTAGGTATTTTACTTTCATGGCATTTACCTCGAAGATCACATGTTTTTGATATCTTTAAGAAGGCTAATCAAAGAATAGTTATCATCAAAGATTGTTTCAAGAATCTTACTCCGGAAAGGTAAAAACCCTTCACACTACATTTATTCAAGCAGAACTTGAATATGCGTGTGTTGTCTGGAGCACAATCTACAAAAAGATATCAACTTACAGCAATCGGCTTACAACAGGTTTCTCAGCTACTTGTGAAATCAAGCCATCAGTTGATTCAATGATGGGATAGTATCTTGACTTTTCAACGATCTTTTTGACTGATGAGATGGTAACATGACTTACACCAATCTGTGTTAGGTATGCAAAATAATGAATGCATATTATAAAAAGATGTATGGTCACTGACAAAATCTTATGAAACAACACACGAAAACAATTGAAAGAATCAGGTTCTTTACTCTGAAGATGACAGAAAGTTGGATCACTTTAACTAGTGCTCTTTTAACGAACTAATGCTTGCCCTTTTTTAGAATAAACCGAAGATCCTGCTCGGACTATTGTCTGAAGTGCCGTGGCTGATACAGTCGTGCCCCCAGTTTTGTTTCCCAAATCTTCGAGACGATATTCGAGGTGGAGTTGTTTTTGAAATGACCTTCTTGTATACTTTGACTAAAGAGGCTGGAATAACAAGGCAGTTAGAATTTAGAACTTACCTCCAAGACAGCTTGTCTTGGTGGGAAGAGATGGATATATATATTTCCCAAGGATATTAACAAATATGTGTATGCAATTAGAGTCTGTCTATATTTCTGAGATGAGGTATTATTTACAGTATTTACATTAGTCGGACTATTGTCCTCATCTTTGTCGCAACGTTTCGGCCGTTGTACGCTCCGGCCTTCTTCAGGTGGTTGGAATTTCGAACTGAATCCTTTATTTCGATCACTGGGTTAGAGTGTTCTAGTTCCACGTGCCATGTTTTGATTATCTCCTGCTAGTTTTCTCTCTTAACCAGGTATTGAACTCACCTTCTCTGGGTCTGTCACTGGATCTAACCAACGCCTTTATCCACCGTGCCATGTGTCCTTGAGGACATCTGGGTATGAACTTCTGAGTATTATAAACCTAATGTTTTCAGCATCATTTTTACCAGTGCTCATATTGCAATTTTTGCTGTTATCATTGCATGTCTTTACCATAGTTCATATTGCAACTTTGTTATCATTGCTTTTCTCTGGCACTCCTTATTACTGGTTCCCATATTGTATTTATTTCTATGCTTGGTCGGCTCAGGAGATTTTTGTGGCCTAGCATATGTGCGGATTCCTTAAGTTTACGAATTTTCCAATGGTGTTCCCTGTCTATGATCTCACCTGAAGAAGGCCGGAGCGTACAACGTCCGAAACGTTGTGATAAATATGGCGACAAAGATGAGGACAATAGTCCGACTAATGTAAATACTGTGTATGCAATTAACTCGGCTGGAATTCGAAACTGGCACCGCGATTTCTCAATCCGAACTTCGAGCCATTACTCCACCTTGCCTCCTATATAGGACTATCCGATTATTCTAATTCTAAAATTATCGCATAACAAATGTCTGTAAGTTTAATATTTCAGACTTAAGACCATCGATGTACAATATGTGAATCCGTTGTCTATTCATAAACAACTCGCTTTTGACTCTTTTCTTTAATTGCCATCATCTGAAACTATTTTATAAACCCGCTTGCACACAATGGCAAATAGAAACAAATTAGCTCCCCTACCCACGTGGTTATACATGTAAAATAAAAAGAAAATTGATCTATAAAGTTCGTTGTTCATGGCAAATCTTTTGAAGCTGCTGGTAACAAAACAGGCTTAACCCAAGATTTCGAGGTCCTATTCTGTTTATCCTATTGATTAACGTTCAGCCTAGTAATATTCTCAGATCAAAGGCTATGCAAGTCTTTCTATAATTATTTACCCAAATCATAGTGTTCAGTACACATCACTAAATATATCGCCTGACCTAGATCAACTTGATAAGGAAAAAAATGGTTTTGCATGTTTCAATGCGTCAAAAAACAAATTGGAAGCTTTTCATCATCTCCGATTCAGTCAACATCGGTCCAATGACAGTGAGGCTCCGTCCTTTCATCGTCTATTGCTCCTTTAACTCACCCCAGATCCAAAGTAAAACTCTCTTTACAATCCATTGCTAAAGATACTGAGAAAAATGGTTAGTTCATTGTATCCCTCTAGAAAGTAAGTGGATTCTTCTAACATGCTTTATCTTTACAGGAGTCAAATCAATTCAAACCGGATATAGAGCAGCTCAGTCTTACCTATCAAGACACGGCAGAGTTCAAAATTCATTACGTGTTACGTAGAAATCCTATTCACCATTCTGCAGATCCTTTTCGACAGACGCTTTCTTGCCTATTGCTACTTTGTCGCTATTTGCACGGCCAATTTTCAAATGAGCTCCATTCTTTATCCCTCCCCACCAGCTGAGGCATTTGCAGCTATTACATACCGTTTCTCCCGTGTTCCTAATGGAAGGAGACAGATTTTTCCCAAGAACCGCAACTCTAAGAAACGAAATACCGCATCTGTGATTCCCACAACAACAATACAATTTTGACGCTTTCAAGCGCTTATCGCTATCTTTACTTTCGTAAATGTTCGCATTCTACTACCTACCTTTTCGTTCATATCTACACCACAATTATCATTTTATCAGTAATCCTCTGCCTTGACAGGCTCTCGTGTATCATATTGAGTGAATTTTATAAAAAGAGGGAAAAGAAAAGAACCGATAGGTCAAGAATAATTGGAGATTGGATATACGAACTAAGGACTGGTTGTTTGCAACGAAGTGGCTTAAGCTGAGAGTAGATTAAGTGAAACATTTTTTTTTCGATTCCAAGCAGAGATTTGTAGCGGTGATATTTTGATTACGTGTGGATTTCAAGCATTACATTCTTTTTCAGTTCGCTTTCTTTCTTTTTCGTACTTTTTACCTTATGAATGCCATAACTTTCTTGCTAATATACCATTTCTCTTACCTTTGCAGATGGATATCTTTCTTTTTGTAATTCTCCTATTATGAAATTCTATCTACTATTACGTCTTTATTCTACCTTTGCTCCTTCTTTTTCCAAATTGTTGCTTGCTTTTACTCTTCGCCTTTCTTCCTTTAAATGTTCCGCTTGATTAGTTTCTTAGCATTCCTCTGTTACCAATTCTCTTTTATTTTCTATTTTCTTACGTTCGATTTCCCTCTCCTTTCATATTCCGTAGAACTTTTTTTTACATCGCTCTCTTCTTTTTTTTTTATTTATTTCGCTCTCTTTTTTCTATTTCCTTTCCATTCCATATCATGTTTCTATTTCTCCATTTTCCACCCGATCTCTCTTAGATTTGCTTTTCTCTTATCACTGTCATCACATCATATTTTTCTCTTTTTTTCCCTTTTTGTTATCAATCCTCTCTTTTCACCATTTATTTTAGTTTCCTGATACTTTCCCTTATTCTTTTCTTATCAGAATTCTTTAACCTTGTTACTATAAAATATATATTTGATTTTCTCTTTTTTTATATCATTAGTTTATTATTTTATTTTTACGACGAACCATATCTGACTCCATTCTTATACATTTTCTTATTCAGAGAGGATTTCTTTTATATTGATCATTTCTACACCCAGTCGCAGTCATCCACCCGGTTCCTTTTCCCCTTACTCACCACTGCATTATTTAACAATCCAGAAACCCAACCAGCATCCACACTTCAACAAGACGCCCAACATTTCCTCGACGAATTCATGGAAACGCACTCACTTAAACTCTTAGCACTTAATAGCTTTTGCAAAAAACATATTTGAATTGCAGGTATTGATCCAGATAAAAGTAGGAAATAAATGCACATGTAAAAATATAAGTCTATAAAGTGTTCGTCCTATCGATAAGATAGATACATCAACACGTACTTTCAGACTTCGGATTTACTGTTTCTTTTTTTTTTTTTCTTTTTTTAATGTTTCTTTTTTTTCTTCGCACCAAACATTGTCAAGTGATGTAAAAAAAAAAAAAAAAAAATTACGTTAGTTTATGTTCTTTAAGAAATCGGCAGAAAAGATATTTTGGGAAAATAAGAAAAGAAATAAAAATATATTCTTTAAAAGGCATTTCTGATCATCTTCTTCTTCTTCTTCTTCTTCTTTTTCTCTTCCGACTTTTCCTTTTTCCCCCTTCTTCTTCTTTTTCTCCTCTTCTTCTTCTTTTTCTCCTCCTCCACTGACTTCTTCTTCTTCTTCTTCTCCTCTTCCTACTTTTCCGCCTCTCCCCACCTTCTTCATCTTCTTCTTCTTCTTCGCTTCCTACTTTCCTCCTCTCCCCGCTTTCTTCTTCTTTTTCTTCTTCTTCTTCTTCTCTTTCTACTTTTCCTCTTTTCCCCGCTTTCTTTTTCTTTTTCTTCTTCTTCTTCTCTTTCTACTTTTCCTCCTTTTCCCGCCTTCTTCTTTTTCTTCTCTGCCTTCTTCTTCTTTAATATTTTTTCTTTTCTTGACTTCCTTTAAACTCTTATCTTTTTTTCTCTAATTTCAACCTATTGTTTCTTTTTTCTCTTTCCTGATATCTCTTTCTCTTGTTAATTTCTCTACCAATTTCAAAATAAATTTCCTCTCTTTCATTATTTTTTTTTGTTTTCTCTTCATCCGCTTTCTTCTACTTTTTTAATTCAACTCCTTTTCTTTCAGTTTTTTCCTTCTCTTGTTCTGTTTTCATACATTTTCACCCTTTTTTCCCTCTTTTCTGTATGCATTTCTCTAAATTATTCCTTTCTTTTAATTTCAATCTTCTGCTTCCTCCTCTTTTTATTTATTTGTTCCTCTTTGTCCTTTTCGTAATTTATTTACCGTAATTATTGTCTATTCTTTCGCTTCGTTTTGTCTGTCTCATTTCTCTATTTTGTATTTCATCTTTTCTTCTTTTTCTCTTTTCGTCTATTATTTCGCTTCGTTTTGTCTGTCTCGTTTCTTCTTGCATTTAATCTTTTCTTTCTCTTTTCTTTTCGTCTATTTCGCTTCGTTTGGTCTGTCTCATTTCTTCTTTTATTTTATCTTTTCTTTCTCTTTTCTTTTCGTCTATTTCGCTTCGTTTGGTCTGTCTCATTTCTCCTCCTTGTCTTTTATCTTTCTTCCTCTTCTCTTTGCGTCTATTATTTCCCTTCGTTTTGTCTCTCGTTTTATTCCCTTGTATCTAATATTTTCTATCTCTTTTTCTTTCTTTTTTTCAATTATCTCGCTCCGTTTTGCCTATCTAGTTTCTTCTCGTTACATTTTATTCCTCCTCTTCTGTTCAACTTCTCTCTTCTCCCTTCATTTTTCCATTTCATCTTCTATCTTTATCATTTTTTGCCCTTTCTTTATTCGACTAAAGATCTTTTGCTCAACTTTCGTTATCATTCTCTGCAACTTTTATCTCATATTTCCGCATTTCTTTTTTCTCGTGGGAAATTTTCATTTCGTTATTTTCTGCCATTTCATTGTTCTATTGCCGCTGCCTGTTTTCATTCATTCACTTATGTTTTGCTCATTCTCTTCTGCTGAACAGATAAGTTTATGTAGATTAGGTTTATCTGCCACTGTTTTAATTTAATCTTCAAATTTTCATTTTCGTTTACTACATCTACCTTTTCATATTTTTTTAAAGTTTTTAATTATCAGTTTTTTTTTTTATTTTCCTTCTTTTTTTTGATCTTTATCCAGTTTTATTCTATTAATAACTCCTTCATTTTTTCATTCTCCTCATAAACGTCTTCATTTTCTTTTTCATCATAATATACTTTTTATTCTCTGAATAATGCTTTTTCCTCTTCTACTTTTCAACATGCTTTTATTCGGTACCATTGAAGCCATATTTTCATTCCATTTGCATATTTTACCTTAATTCCTCTTTACAAGTCTCGAAATGTTTTTATTGATATTTGTCTTTGTTTACAATGAAACAGAATATTCACTTTTCTTTCCTTTCTTTGTTCTTTCGATTACATTTTTCACATTTTTCGCATTATTCCCTTGTCTGCCTTCAAAACGGTAACTTCTGACGCAATTCACTCAATTCAGTTTGCAATTAAAGATAGCGTTGTGTGGATGAACGGGGGAGGTGAAGAGCGGAGAGGATGAGAAAAAGAAAACCAAAGAGACAAAACTTTGGGAAGAGTGAAATGAAAATAAAAAATATAAACAGAAAAATGTATTCTTCATTAATGCATTTTCTCATTTCTTTTTTTTTTTTTTTTTTGACATCAGGTTGCATTCTTTTTCTCGTCTGCCATTCTACAATTTGTCTTTTGTTATCATCATCGCCATCGCTACCAACACAACCGCCACCACTATCACCATCACCATTTGCACGAATTTCAAAATCCTCGAAGCCAACACCATCATCACTACGATCAACATCTCTCCCATCACAATGAAAAACATCAAAATTACCATAATCACGACACTGATTATCACCATCATGGATAGTGTCACCACCATTATAATCACCATGGATAGCACCGTCATAACTACAACCCCCTCATCCTCATCCTCATCATCATCATCATTATCATAAATAATACCGACACCATAATCATCAAGAACCATTTCTATCACAACCACCATTGCAAGCACCACCAATATATTTATTATTAAGATCGGTACCACCCAAACCATCATCCTTACCATAATTACAACTACTATTTTCAATATCATCATCATCATCATCATCATCATCATCATCATCATCAGCAGCAGCAGCAGCAGCAGCATCATCATCATCACGAATAATTGCACAATAACAAACCTCCACCGCCATCATCATTGAGCACCATCATAAACGCTAACACTTCCAACAACATTACAACCGTCAACCCTAACAGTTTCCCTACCGCCAATATCATCCCTACCTCCACTATCACTAACAACACCATTAGAAACCTCGTCTTTAACATCATTATCATCGTCATTACCTCGGTTAACCCTACCACCAATATCAACCGCACCAGCACCTTCACCGCCACTACCATTTCCATCCCCGTTTTCAGCAACATCATCAAAAGCATCACTTCCACAACAGCAGCAGAACCATCATCATCACTAGCCTGACATTTCAACGAAAACTATGATCAGCTCCATCGCTCACAAAACCATTAATATCATCACTACTTCAATGAATACTAAACTTCCACTGCAAATAAACATTATCATCATCATACATACTCATCGTCATCAAAAGTTCCATGTACATTATCATTTTCTCGGGTATTTCCTCTTCACTAACGAATTATTACATATATTTGATATTGAAAAGGTTTCTTACAATATTCAAATTTTGAATTCCTTCACGCCGTCTTCTCAGCGTTTTCTTGATATTTTTCATTTTTTTTATTTTCGATTTCTTATCAGCATTCTATCAACATTTTCATTTTGTTATCACTTTCATTCGATCTTCTTTCTTCGTTATTTTCATTCTAAACGTCATCTTGAAATTATTTTTATGCTTGGCATCTTCTTCTTCCCTTCAATATTCTAGTTGCTTTCACAGCGTTTATCTCGCCAACATTTTTATCTTGTGTCATTTTACTGATATATATATATATATGTGTGTGTGTGTGTGTTTTCTGCTTTCTTCCCATCTCAAGCAAAAAACGAAGCGACTTGAGAATGATTGCTTCGATTACGCAGTAAAACTATAATTGCAAAATACAGATTTGCCGCTAGATCATGTCATATTGACCATTAAAATAAACCTTCATTTATTTAAATAAAAAAACATACTTTCTCTGTGTCATGGATCATCAAATTGTTATCCTTTGCCGATGATACTAGTTTTATTCTTAATTTTTTAACTTAAAAGAATATAATTTAATATTATTGGATAGGACTTGGCTTTGTTTATCTGATCGGCTTTGATATCTGATCGGCTTTGATATCGCTTTATATATGATTGTGATGACCACGTCCTTACCAGCAGTTTTAATGACTAATTTTCTGTTTTAATGGCTGTAATTTTGAGAAAGGTTTTGTTGGGGACCTTAATATTTGGTACAGATATTTACCCACTCATTAAAAAAAAATGAACGGATTGGGATACGTTGGAAAATGTAAATGGCCGTTTGATTTTATACAAAGAGACGATACTAATAAAGTGTGAAAATGCATTACATGTTTTCCGCCCTAAAGCGAAATCTAGCCAATATTACAAAACACTCTAGTTACTCACAAATCGAACACGTCATATTGCAATCGATGGTGTTCTTCTCACGAGTGAGGGAAGAATCTTCTCTCTACGCTGTGAATATTAAAGAAAGTTAACCCAACATTCTCAATACTTCGCTTATAGAACATAACATATACTTTACAAAAAAAAAAAAAAAACGCATGTAAAGGCAGACGTATATATATATATATATATATATATATACACATTTCCTATTATACCAGCGTTCATCAGGCATTTCACAAGAAATTTTTAGGAAGCCATAAGTGAACTGCATTAACTAAAAACTAAGAGCTCATCTGAACATTTGCCATGGAATTATTTACAGAAAATATCTAGGATGGCAACTTTACGGCGGTGGGAATGTGACTGAAGCCGATTTCGAATCGAACGCAAGGAGTATTTTTCTCGTTGCTTTAGTGGACAATCAAAGTTGTCGGAGATTGTATATTGCTATGTCGTTTGTGTTTAAGATAAGAAAAGTGCTCCAAGCCAATTACAAAAATACGTCTTCAGTGGAGCCAAAAATATACTCGATAGTAGACATTTTCAGGAATATTGAGTAAGTCCAGAAAGTTCAGATTATCACGATTAGAACTCTGAAACAATGAATGCTTTTGCCAATCGGATTCATGTCACAGAGTCAACAGTCAGACGTGGGATGCACGAGGGAATTAGATACAAACCATGTGATCAGCTCGATGATTTTGTTAGACAATGTCAAGCACTACCAAAAGAACAATGTGCTCCTGTCTGAGATTAAATACTGAAGACTATCAATGGGAAGTTGATTTTCTTCCGGCTCACTGAAGTCCCTATTGTTATACACGGTAAGCTCCCTTGTTCTGTGAGGGTCTTGGAAGCTTTGAGCAATCAGAACTTTATCATACCTCTTTACTGTTCCGACAAGTCTTTAGCGTCAATGTCACCTCTTACATCGAGAATCTAGATACTATTGTTAAACCGGGTTATAGAAAAGGTCCATCGGAATAGAACGTCCGTGTACCATGATTATTCTGCTCTCTCTCTCTCTCTTACTCTCTTTCTCTCTCAATATCTCTCGCTCTTACAGACACAAACAGGTTCGAAACTGTAGTTCCTCTGATGTTACTATGCAAATTACATTGATCTCAATGATTAGAATTTGCTTTGTAAAATTTTGGTCAAATTTTAAACGATTACTTTAGCCGTCAAAACAAATCTTGATTTATTTGTTTTTGTTGTTCAACATGTTTTAATAAATTTATTCGATTTATTATAAGAGAAAACTATTATCTAAAGTTATTATGCAGATTAAACTAATATTAGT